AGATATGTAGTGTCTTATAAAATGTAACATAGAAAGAGACCTGTGGAATATCAGAGCTGGAAAAGGTCATGGAGCCATGTGGTTCAATTCCTCCTTTTAGCAACAAGGCTACGAAGCCAAGGGAGGTTGAATGAATTATCCAGGTCACATGGCTACAAGGAGCAGAAGAGAGACTGGACTAGAAGAGATCTGCTAAATCCTAAACCAGTATAATTTCTATATTATCACACATTATTAATTATTTGCAAGATTTGAGCCAAAGTATGAACCATGCATACAAGTGAGAGAATCTTAGCAACAGAGGAGACTTTGGAGGTCATCTTGTGCCATCTCCTTCCTGATACAAGAATTCTCTTGATGACAGCCTTGAGAGATGGCCACTAGCTCTCCAGGCTTGACTCTGATGCCAGGAAGCTCAAGACTTTATAAGGCAAATCATTTTGTCTTTAAACAATAGGTCAAATTTGTATTTTTAAAACATCAGTACAAAAGGAATAGGGTGGCCAGAGGGAAATAGCATAGTATCAGTTATCGTGAGGAGTTTTACTCTTTTTCTCAATTAAAAATGAGGATAATAATGCTTACATTGTGGGGTGATTGTGTGGATTAGAGATGCAGTTTATAAAGCATCTACCTAGTGGCTATTTCAAAACAGGTACTCAAATTGTAGTTATTATGGTTTTTATCATCATGATCCCATTTTTTGAAATTATGCCCTCTCGAGCAACATAGACTATGTCTAATCCTGCAAATATTTGAAAACAATTATCATGACCCTCTAAGTCTTCTCTTCTTCAGACTAAATATTCCCTGATTCTTCTACTGTACTTCCTGTAATGCATTTTGGATGCCTTCACTGCTTTCATTCCCTCTTATTTGTCAATTTCCCCCTTAAAATGTGGTGGCCAGTTGTGGTCAGTCCAACATGCTCTACAATGGCATAATTACTCCTTCCCTTGATTTGGACTTTGCACTTCTCCTACTCTAACTTAGATATTTGTTAACATTTTTGGAGGCCAGATCACACAGTTGGCTCAAGTAAAACCTGATTCTACTATCCAGAACATTAGATGTGCCTCCCAACATTGTGTCAAATGCAGATTTGACAAGCATAACTTTTATATCTTCATTCAAGCCATTGGTAAAAATGTTAATCAAGGAAATGCCAAAGACTGAGCCTCAAGGAATACCTCTGATCCTTCCCTGCATGTTGACATCCATCCACTGGTTTGGTGACATTGTTTCACCAACTCCATATCAACACACCTTTACTAGCAAAAATAACTCAGCAAGATATAGTCACTCTTTGTGTTTCTGGAATTGAATATTTAATTTATCCAGAGGTAAAATGCTGTTCTTTTATAAATGAAGATATGTTTAGAACTCATAATTGGGAAAATGTGAACCCAGAAAATAATTTCATGTTTGAGTTACTATGTAATGCTTAAAGAAAAACATCATCTCTTCTTAATGTGAATTGATAATGCTTGCCTAATTGTTTATTTTTCTAAAATGTTTTGAAATTACTTTCTGGGTCTGGAGGAAGGAGGCTAGAGGATTTGCTGATTTCATGTGTTGGGGAGGAAGGAGATTATTGAAGTATTAAACCTTAACTTTCAGAAGCCTTTTCCATCTCTGGTGGAGATCACAGAGACAGAGAGATGTCTCAAAAATATTGATGAGGGTCAGTTATATTCCAAAATAATCTTTATTCTTTTTAATGATTCTCAGAGAAGATTCTTAAACTTTTAGAAGGAAGAGCTGCTTCTTTCTCTCACTTAACATGCTTTACTCTGAAGAAATCAAACTAGTTTCCTTGTGCTGCAACACAAATCAGTTTTTCTCGGTTTTCGTGGTGGAGATAAAGAATGGTTGTCACCATCATTTGAGCTAAAGTACTCAAAGACTTGATGCTCACCCCTTGGTACTTCCTCCACGGGCTCATTTAGTATTTTCTCAAAGACTTTACTTTCCAGTTTATGTACTATATTTGCAGCTTTCTTCTTAATCCTGATCCTATCTCTTTCTCCAGCCCATAGTCGAACAACTACCTTAATACATAAAACTATTATTGTGATCATACTTTGAGATTTTAAGGTTAACAGACAAGAAGTTAACATTCTCAAAGTTGCCCACGGAACAAAAGATAAGATTTCATCTTACTGAAAATTCTAAGAATGCCATCTTATTGCTTACTCATTCACTTACTATTTATTGAGCATCCCCTAAATGCAAGGTAGTGACCTAAGAAATGGAGACACAGTGGGGAGCAAAGTCAGATTTAGTCCCTTGTCTTGTTGTGCTTATATTCTAGAAAAAGAAAGAGATATAATCAAATAATTTAAACAACTGTAAACTTGTAGAAAGTACTACAAAGGAGAAGAGATGGTGCCCATCAATGGAGAGATCAGGGAAAACTTCTTTACATGATGCTTACTTAATCTGAGATTTGAAGATGGAGTCGGGGCAAGAGCATATGTAGCAGAAAATATTATATTCCAAAGGCCTGTGCTGACATGGAGCATGGTCAGTGTGAGGGCAGCGAAATTCCAACAAGGAGGAGTGAATCACAGACAGGAAAAGTGAAGTGCCATGAGATAAGCTGGGGAGGTAGGAAGGAGCCCCATACAGGCCTTGGAGTTCACATAAAAAACAATGTCTGTGTCTTCTGAACTGTGGGAAGCCACCCAAAAAGCTTGGGGTAGAGGGGGCATGTTAGGGGAATTATGCATGATATGATCAATTTTGGCTTTTGAAAAGATCACTGTGGCTGTAATATGGAAAAGTGGAAAATGGAAAGCCAAAGTGAGTGACAGCCAGTTAGGAGACCATTACCTAGTCCAGGAAAGGAGATGATAGTGGTTTGGTACAGATTGGTGGAAGGAGAGATGGAAATAGAGAAAGAGATGAAGATGCTTAGGTTGAATTTGTAGTGCTCAGGAATTCTTACATGGGAGTGATAGAAGAGAGGTGTCAAGGGTAACTTAAGAGGGTCCATATATTTTAAATTCTTGTTTGTGAATTTAAATAATATTTTTAAAATATTAAATTATACAGCTCTCTTGGTAACCATTGGTAGCACAACAGTAAAAATTCTAAAGAGCATCAGAAATTTTTCTGTACCTCAGATCTGTTATTGACAAAGTAGGCAATATGAAAAATTTTGAGTGTCTTTGAGGATCCCAACAATGGAAAAAATTATACTTGAAATGGTTTACGTCATCAAGACCTTAATAAGAGTCAGAGAAATAAGTTTTTTAAGGTTCACTATAAGAAGAAATAACACCATTAACTTAATTTTGTTATTATTTTGTTTGATTCTCTTCATCTCTAGATCCTCTAAAAAGAACTCAAGCATGCTCCTGCACTGCCACCCCAATACAAATCGCCATTTCCTTTCCTCTTACTTTAACCAATCACAATATTTTCTCATGTTAAGAAAACCTTCCAATACATAAGAGGAGCCTTTGGACCATGTGTGTATATATAAGCCTGTTCGTGCCTTTGGGATCCCACAACAGCACAGTCAGCTCACAGTCTAAGCCAGGTGCCCAGTTTCCATCTGGATTTCTGACAAACTGTGTGGTCAGGATTTAGAAATCAAAAACCTGGGAAAGGTGCAATGTGATGGACACAACCACCCAAATACCATATATGTTATCACCATCATTTAACACATAGTGCAGGAAATCCTGTTCTTTGCAGAAGAACTTCAAAGAACCACTTCTCGTTCTCCTGGGTAACATTCATTTTTAGCTTTGCTAACCCTAAAGTGCAGACAGATATATATTTTCCTTTAGTAAATTGCTAGTGACACTACTTTTCTTTCCTGTCATCCACTACCCACTGTCCAGTGGGCCTCTCAAATTTCACTACCCTTTCAGGCTGAATAGCTGCACCTAGCTGTTTACAGAGGCCCGTTTACCCACTCGGCTGTGCCTTGCATTTTCTCTTTCTTTTCTAGGTTCTGAACTTCTCACATCTCAACTCTACCATGTTGATGCGCCCCCTTCTGCTCCAGAGTGAATTTTCTCTTATTGTTTCAGAGACTTTCTAGGAAGAGCTGTCTCTTAAGGCAGCTTTATCTTGTATATTTAACCTTCCTTTTGAATTTTAAAGAGAAAAAACTTTCTTTAAGTCATCAGAAATATATATATGGTATCAGGTGCCTTAAGTGACTCAGTTATCTAATTTGTTCCTAGTATATTCATGCAGTGTGTGTTTACTGAATGCCTACTTTGCCCCAAGCACTATGGGATAGTTATAAACACAGACATTCTATATTCTAGAGAAATGTAGAATGAATAAGTAAAGAATAAGAAAGGCAATGAACAAGTAAATGAATAAGCAATCATTCTTCCGTATTCCATTATTCCATAAAATTGTTAGAGATTGATTTTGTGGAAATAGAGCAGAAGTTGCAACTCTCGCTCTCGTCATTGGATCCCAGACACCCTGTCATCTATTCCAGCTGTCCATCCTCATTCCCTGTTGTTGAGCTTGGGTCATGAATACCCAGATTATGATTTGGAAAAGTAGTAATTTCCTGAGGAAAAAAAATTGGTGGTTGTCCATTGTTATAGGACTGGAAAAGAAAAAACATCCCAGTGTGCTTGTCATTCAAAGCAGGATGCTGAGTGACTCTCCACTAAATCACAGTATTGTGCACTTACCACAGAAATAATTTTCAAGTGCAGTATATATCACACCAAGTCAGAGAGGATACACACATGAGAGAGTAAACTTCACATCAGCATGGTGGCAGAGTGATCATTGAACTTCAAGGTATTTTCATATGTGCCTTACTCTTAGGGTGGATAGTTATTTTTCATTTTCTTGTAGCTGTAACTTATAAGATGAATGGATCCATGGCTTGCCAGAAGCCATAACTCTGTATTTAGTTAACATGACTATAGAGTCCCAATTTTGGCCTCTGAGAACTTGAAAGTAGAATGAAACATTGACTTATTCTGTCTTCCCCCTCTGTCTTCTCTGGGCAGAATATCTCGATGCACAGCACAGTTGGTGGGGCCATGTCGGGGCCTGGGGCTCACCAGCTTGGCAACACCCGGATGCCCAACCACGACACCAGCGTTGTGATTCAGCAAGCCATGCCGTCGCCTCAGTCCAGCTCTGTCATCACACAGGCACCTTCCACCAACCGCCAGATTGGGTAAGGAGACTTCCTCAGTCGTCTCCGGGTCCTGGCTGGAGCTCAGAGAATGTTGTGGACTTTCTCCTTGTTTCTGGTGCTCAGATTGGATGAGACAGAAGCTGGTTTTCCTGGCTGGTGTGATACTGCCTAGCGCTCAGAGTGATGCTTTTGATGGAAGAAGGGGAGGGGAGTCTCCTTTCGGTGGAAGAGGTTTGGTCTTGGACTTTGCAAGCAAAAGCAAGTTGTTCCATGTCATTGTTCTCAAACAAGATTTGTGAACTTTAAGATGACTGTGGGAAACCCCCCATGAGTGTTATGGAGACTAGAGCACAGTTCTCAGGACAAAGGACATAGCTCTCAGGCTTGAGGATGATAGAGGGAAGTTCGCCAGCCCAGACTCCTCCCCCACACAGTCATCCTTTCCTTGGACTTCTGGAGCCCTTTACCTGTGTCTTCTGCATATTTCCACAGTCTTCCTTCCTTCTGATTATTCTTCCTTGCCTCTTTTCCTTGTTAATACCTCCGCCTCCCTTTGCATTGGTCCATTCTCATACATGCAGTAGACTAAAGGAAAAAGCAAGCCCCTTACCTTTCATTTACATAAAAAAGACAATACTGAGGCATTGAGAAAAATTAGTAGGAAGCTCCTGTCAAAATCCCAGACACTCCATGTTATGGGATGGAAAAATCTCTCACTCCTGAGTATCATGAGGTAGCTCGAGCCCCTTACTACCCTGAGTGTGGTCAGAGGACCAGCAGCTGGGCATTACTCAGAAGCTTCTTAGAAATGCACAGTCTCTGGCCCAGCTTCCTTACCTCTGTGATGAGGATGGTGTATTTCCATCCTCACAATAATAGAGGAGGAAATAAAAATTTAAGAATACTTGGGTTCTCAGGAAGAAGAGGTAAAAGCTTAAGCCAAAGAGCTCTGACAAATTTATATTGCTGGATGCTGAGAACTTCTTGCTCTATGTTTCCAGAATTCTCTGTTTAAAGGAGGTAAGGGAACTTAACTGTGCTTGGTATGTGCATCAGAATTAACTTTGAATATTTAGTTGAATATTGGCTATGGTGATTTAAAAAAAAAAAACCTAGAAATTTTCCCACAGTTTGTCAATGTGCTCTTTCCCCCTTGTTTGTGATACTTATAAGAATTCCAGACCAAGAGTGGGCACTGGGGACAACACTGGCTTATTCCTCTTGAGATACTTTAGAAGGGTACCTTGTCTCCTCACATTTCTCACCTTACTGGATGGGTTGTGACATGTGAAGACCCACCTGAACAAATGAGAGTTGTGAGCAATGACTATTTTGTGACTTTGCCATGGGGACATTCAAAAAACAGAAAACTAATCTGGCCATTTGAATGCTTGGCTTTGTTGAAGAAGCCAACTCTAAATTAGCAAGTGTGTGTTAGAGACTTCTTCTCTTCTTGAATGACAATAGGAGCAAATGTTGCCACTATCTAAAGCAAAAACCTATAATATACTAAAGAGGGTGGGATGGGTTGTTAAAGGCAGCATCTAAATCTCAAGGGACTCCTTTACTCTAGTGACTTGGCCTTGGGCAGACAATTCAGTTAGGCTAGCTAATTATAATTATTTTATTTTTCTTTCAAGAGGTAAAAGCATAAAATGTGCAAGAGTTTACTAGCAGTTTTACAACATTCCTTCTTCCCTGGAGTTCTCCTGTCCGCCCCCCACCCCCCACACCCCCTCCCTTCTTCCACCAGCTACCCTCTTGGAGGCCCTTAGTATTTGACCATTGTTAATACAATGCTGGTTTTGTGAAACAATCTTTTAAGGGTTAGCACTAAATTTTAAGATGGTTCTTGACTCTGTCAATAATTTATCCAGCTGTCCCAGGTTTGTACAGTTTGGTGATATTTCTAGGCTGTGTCACTGTGCCTGGGCGGGTAGGGGTGTTTCTCTGGTACGTGTGACCTCCCGACCACTCCATCTTCCCATTTATTCCCAATCCTGGGGTGTTGGATGTCTCTCCTGGTGTGTTCTAGGAGATAATTGTCACTTTTAGTACTCTGTCTCATTGCCAAGCTGGAGGGAGGCTGTTTCTTTTGTTCCGATTCTTCCCTGTTGTGCTGAGCATGCTGACTCCAGCCACACATCCTGTCATTTCCATTTTCTCCCTGTGACCCATCCAAACCCTTGCCCGGATGACTGTGGGGACTCAGCAAGGAACCACCCAGCCCCTCTCACCAGTGGGTCCATCTTGAAACTCTAGGCGGTAACATTTGGGGTGGTTGGCTCTTTTATTTCTCTCTGCAAAGAGGAAATGAGTACTTATTTTAAAACATGAGTTCCCTCTGGAGACTGTGTCTTTAAATGAGCATTTGAAATTGCAGATAGTTTTTTTTTTTGAGGCTGCACAGAACCATATTGTAGTAATATTCTGATTTTTATCACAACCTCAAATATTTAAGTGTCAAAATCTGGCCAAGCCACCTGCAAATGTTTGCCATGGCGACCGGCCAACAAAAACAGCAAATGGCAATGAAAGTCCTCATTCAGGCGCGGCTGACACCGCATGCACCCAGCCAGCGAGCCTGTGACCACCTGTGCCCATGCAGCGCTCTTTGCTGGGCCCGTGGGTGTGCTTGTGTGGGGTGGGGGCGCCTGTATCCCACTCTCCTCTTCCCTTCCCTTTACCAGGGCTTGGTTTCTGATGCCAGCCCACTTCTGCTCTCCTTTCTGCCTCCTCCTTTCGTGCTGTATTTAAGCTGAGAGGCTTGAATGTATTGGGAATGGGATTGACACGGAGGACTGTGAAATGGGAGTAGCATTCTTTCTCAGGTAAGGTTTTGGGGACAGAGTGAATGCATCCATGTGAGCATTTGATTTTCATACTTTTTGAGTAGGCAGGGAGCCAAAAAAAACACAAAATGGGTGGAAATACAAAAATCCAAAGAAATAACGTTAAAAGTAGGTAGACAGACAACATGGGCAGCTTCCATTCCATCCCATATCATGTCCTACCATGCCTAAGCCCAGTTCTGTCAAAGAGGCACTGTTACCCCAATAGGAACTGGAGGTCTGTGTAAATATCCCACATTGCACTCGTGTGGTTAGGCAGGATAGAAAAACATGGCTCCAGAGGGTGTGGGAGGCATCCCCAAACTAGTGACTACTTGTCCTTAGTCACACTGGCAGACGCTGTGCTGGGCAGGAAAAGTATCTTTGGCTGATTAATGGTAGTGTTTTAGGAGATAAGTTTTCCAGATGAAAAAAGAAAAAAAAGTGAGCCATGGGCTGTGAGGGAGACAAGTGACACAGAAAGCAAGCATGTGTTAAATATCGATAAAATCCATTCAGCCTTGGACCAAATATGTGGCAGACTCTAAGCAGTATCTCTATTCCAGTCATTTTTATTAGATATCATGGAACAGGTTCATTAATTCAGGATCAAGTCAGCAATACCTGGGGGAAATGGGGGATGAGCATGTAGCGGTAGCATAAATTCTCTTTCTCTTTGTCTCTCCTCACATGAGGCATTTTCGTAGGAGCCAGTAATCAGTTGAGTAGGTGGTTATAATCTTAATAGATCCCAGCTTTTCTAAGAAGTCTATTTCTCTTTATGGAGTAAACGTTAGTAGATAATTCATGCTCACTAATTCTTCAGGAGAGCAATGAAGATAATACAGAGTATGGAGTTTTGTAAGAATGGATATCAGTACAGAGTTTTGACAGTTTATAGAAGGCAATGCCAAAATAGTCCACAAAACTTCTTCTTATATTCTTCCTGTATTCACATGTTCTACGAATGTAATTCTATATAGGGACCTTGACAAATATGTAAGCTTGTTAGATTATTGGGGGAAATTATTTGTTTTAATTGCTTACATCTCTAATATCAGAATATATAAATGTTCCTACCAACGCTGTTATCTGGACTAACAGCATGTGGCCCATTGTTAAATATCCTAGGAAGATATCAGGGAACTTGAAAATATTTTCAACAGCAGCATATAGGGAGCCATTAATATATGAAACACTTCCTTGATTTTACACCAATTTTAGTCCTGGCCCATTATATGTAGCTATATTAGTTGTTTGGTCATAATCTCTATTCTCATAAGACTAAAGATAGGCTACGTAGAGATCTAATACTTAGCTAGAAAGTTATATAAAATGTTGCAGAAGCAAATCTTGTTTTATGTAAAAATAAAAGGGGGCCAACCCTCATCAAACACTGTGCCTCCACATGCCCTTTCTGTGCTTCTTCCTCTCTTTTCTCTGGGTAATCCCTGACCCTGAGTGTCATGTAGAATATCAGGTATAGCTCACTAGATATGACCAAGGACAAAACAATAATAAAATGAAAAGAGCAGCTTATTGTATCTCAGACTCTGTTGGTGGTGAAAGCAATGCCCTTTTCTGTTAGGGAGTCCCTGGCTGTGCTGTAGGAACTGGTGTTACAATCTGTGGTGCCAGTTGAGATGAGAATGTTAATCAACTTGAGGATTTTTGTATAACTGTTGCTCTGAAAAAATAAATAAAAGGGCCAGGGGCAGGGGTAAGGGGCAATCAGTCAATGGTACTGTCATAGAAAGGCACAGTGTAAAGGAGACTTAAATAGCAAAGCAGCTTACAGTTTAAGAATGTGCTTGCCCTGCAAATGCATACGTGTATAAATCTATTATTAAGAGTTTTCTTAAACACTCCAAAACACACTGAGCACGATTAAGGCTGTTGCTGCCCAGCCTGGGCTAATGATAGTGACATCCAAGCCAGTCTTCTTCCTGCTGGAAGCAGCAGGTCAACAGGTCCCAGGCTGTCACTGACCAGCAGCCCTTTGCCAGGGCAGCTTGAAGCCCAGAAGCCATTATTTCCTGCTTTGTGTTTTGCTGAATATCACAGCTATGAACATTGCTTTATTGTTAGAAAGTTGCTGGATCTTTCACAGCCCTGAGAACATTTACAAGGGTCTTTCAGGGGGATGCTTTCTGGGAGGGTTGATGGACTTAACCATATGGCTCCCGTTAAATCCTGTGCATAGCCTTG